TCGGTCAGAATATTATTTCGACATCAACTTTTTGTGGCATCCAGACTCAGCCTTAATAGAATATAGGAAAAAACGCATCATAGCAGTAAATTGACTTGAAGTTTGTATTGAGCGTAGTACTTCGTAAACATGTGGACTTGTAGTGGAGGGTTACTGCTTTGTAGACGCTACGATTATTGTGGAACTACCAGATAAAACTAGATGTGGTCGGTGACCAGAGGAAGGTAAAAATAGATTCTCGACAAGAGTTGTTTATTTATTCAAATAGAAGAATTTATTCTGAAAAGACGTAGTCGAAGAATAAGTCATCCAAGGACAGCTTCATATGTGCCTCAAGAAATAATATAAATAATGCACTTTGTGAAGACTCGATATTCATCGATATTCAGGGGTTACAGTATTGTTGAATTAATCACTGTCAATAAATTATTCATTCGGACGACTAGCTGAAAGAATTATTTATTCTGTGTCAACTTTGCATAAAAAAATAATCCTGGTTCGTCACAAATAATCATAATTTCTTTTACTGAAATAAATGTAAATACTACGTAGTACTATTTTCCCTACCTTTGTTGGAGACTGCTCCGTCCAGGTAGCATCGAGGAGTACCATAAATAAATTCTATTACGTAGTAATACAACAAAGGAATGTCGAAGGAGCGCAATAATCACAGCATCCATCATCGTAGCATGCACCCAACGCAAGGCCATCCAACACTTGGACATCAAACCAACTCAACAACTGTGCATTAGGTATTATGCTAAGTTTGATTGGGGCGGGGCCGTCGGGGGCGAAATGTGCGGCCACTCGACGGGTAGAGCACTTCGCCCCAGAAGTCCGGCGTCTTGTCAGCCGTGTCATCGTCCGTCTCGTCGGCAGTCGCCTTCGGCGACGTCTTGCTCCGGCTGTGGAACCGCTTGCCCAGCTGGTCCGAGGGCCTACTGTTTTCTCGGCCACGGTGGGCAGCAAGTGCGGCAGTCGTTACTGCCGCCAGAGCCGCATGTCCTCGCTATGGAAGGGCACGGACTTGTACCCAACGACGGTCGAGTTGTCCGCGGCGTACCGATGTCGAACGGGAAATGTGAACAAAGTGACGGCCACGACCAAGAAGACCTGGCATTTGCCCCCACGGAAGTCTTCGTCGACGACGAAGGCGATGCGCTGCATGCCACCATGGACGAAGCCGACCTTCTCAAGACATTTCCCGTTCGACATCGGTACGCTGCAATCAACTCGACAGTCGTTGGGTACAAGTCCGTGCCCTTCCACGGCGAGGACGTGCGGCTCTGGCGACAGCAACGACTGGCGCACGTGCTGCCCACCGTGGCCGAGATAACGGTCGGCCCGTCGGACCAGCTAGGCAAGCGGTTCCTCAGCCGTAGCAAGACCTCCCCGAAGGCGACTGCAGACGACACGGACGATGACACGGCGGACAAGACGCCGGACTTCTGGGGCGAAGTGCTCAACCCGTCGAGTTGGCCGCACATTTCGCCCCTACCCCCGCTACAGTACCTATGAAAATGTCAGTGAAATCTGATCACAACCGGTGCGGTACCTTGAAAACTATTCAGGCATGCGCATTGGTCTAAATCCATCACAGTACTTATATTTCATTGGATGAAAATGATTAACGCATGGTGATTGGATATTTTTGTCCAATTAGAGACAATTAGGTACACGCCCAACCGGAACAATGAAAATGTTCGTCATTGGCCAAACCGGTACAGGTCCAACCGGAGAAATCATAGGTACTGAAGCGGGGGGTATACGGTAGCCTTCGGCGAGGTCTGAACGAATAGTTTGATCCTTATTTTCTGCAAATTTTAGCGTCATTACAGCCGGTGCCACATGTGCCACAATTAACATCGGCCGATGTGAATTCAACATCATCGAATTAGTGTGAGACTGCAATTACTGTGACATCGAACGACTTTTACATACAAACATCAGTGCAAAGAATCGATCGATAGGTTTGGCGAATCAGCACAAAAGTCCAAATTATTGTTGGGTAAACGACAATACAGTAGTGACGGGAATATATAATATATACAGTCGTACGTTGATGCGATTGATCTGCTGCTCGCGGACTTTGGTGTTGTCGATCGAGAGCACGTCGACGCGGTCTTCATTTTGGAGGCGGTACTTGTTGACGCCCACGATCACTTCCTCGCGACTGTCGATACGCGCCTGCTTCTTGGTCGCGCTCTCCTCGATTCAATCGCCTTGGCCATCCCCCCAAGTTTTCCACCTACACCGCAACAAATCAATCCATAGTCATGACTCACATGTCCACATGGGGTGTTCATGTCTTGCGTTTTGAAATCAAATCCATCCACTTTCCCATCATCACATTGTATACCAACAGACCAATATAAACAACATGCGGAGGCAACCACAAATAGTGTGATACGTTGCATGAAAATCCAAACATCTACACTAAAATCGATTTCGACAAGCCCAAGTTCACATTTGGTCATATGAAAGCTGTCATATATATAGATAGACCCATATATATATTGTCAAATCGAATCGAAACAGGAGCCCTCAGCAGAATCAAATGTGTAAGGAAAATCGATTAAAGAACCGCCTGAGCCAATCAAATCACGTCATGTCGAATTTCTGCCAATCCAAACGCTTGACCCCTCCGCAATTGGGCAAAACCAATATATACTAATATTTTATAGTATAATATGTACAAGATTAAATGGGATCAAAATAGATTCGAAAGCTACTTGGCGAAATGACTCACAAGTCCAAATTTGGGTGAAATTCACAATATAATATATATATATATATACATAGCCAACTTCAATTGAGGTATATATATATCTACAGATATAGACATCTACCTCGCGGATAATTTCCATGGCCGAGTCGACCAGTTCCTGCGTCAAGTTTTCCATCAAGTACGACCCGCCCCACGGATCCGCCACCTACCACCATCCATCATCCACCCAAGGATCCGAATCTATGACGGCTTATTTCATCCACATATGTGAATAAATGAACGATCATCTATCGGACCACCACCTTGGGAATGCCCGTTTCTTCTTGCAAAATCAGCTGCGTATTGCGCGCCATGCGGGCCGAAAACTCTGTCGGGAGCCCCAGCGTCTCGTCGAGCGCGTTCGTGTGCAGACTTTGCGTGTCGCCCATGGCGCTGGCCATGGCCTCGACTGTCGTGCGGATGATATTGTTGTACGGGTCTTGCTCCGTCAGCGAATACCCCTACGTCTACCACCATCACACAACAACACAACACCAATATATTGTCACGATTCGAAAGTGGAGCGAGGTGCTCAATCGAATGAGCAGAATAACCAAATCGGCAGACAATTAAAGATCGACCCGTCAAAACCCACAACACGAATCAAGTAGCCAATCAAATCCACTATCCCACCATTTCAAAACTGAATTAGTATATGACTGAAATTAGTGTGACACTGGACGATCTTTAGATACAAAATTCAGTACAACGTATCGATCTGTGGCCGAAAGCACGACCGGACAGGTGCCCCTGAGGTTCCGCGACCGCCAGGCCAACCCGTCGTCATCGGTCGATCGGGCGTTCTGGGGCGCCGTGCTCAATCCGTCGCGTTGGCCGGATATTTTACCGACCCCGCCCTCAACCAACCAAGTTTAGTATATTTAATACAAGAGCTATTCATATTTGTGTCGCGTATACGATTAGATTACACATGGAGTTGTATTTGACATCGAAACTGTCCATGTTGTTATGTAATGCCAGCCATAGATACCCCAATTTGATGACTGATTCGGACAGATTCTCTGTAAATATATACTTCCAAGCATATAAATATATTTCTCTAAACAATGAAAATTGCGATATGTATACAATATGTATACAAGGTTAATCGTGATATTTGTTGGTGATTGTGTCCACACATCACATGCGCCTCGAACTACTTCTTCGCCATCGTTGTTGAACGTTGTGTTGGAGCAGCCGGTGAAATGGTTGGCTGCGGGCCGCCGGATTTGTTTGATATCTTTTGAAATGCATGGCTGCAAATCGTGGCTGCCTCCCGCTACCTCGTCCGACGCTACTAACCACAGAAACAAACCCATCATTTCATTTCTATTCTATTCTACGTGACTCTATACATATTGATGCTACCTTCTCAAGGTAGTAGTAGTTTATACATATTGATGCGATTAATAGTTACTCAAGGTAGTAGTAGTTCACATAAGGAATTGTAGAATATATAGTACATATAAGACAGACACGACACAAAACCGACAAAATTCGGCCCCGTGATTGGATGACCGACAAATGATTGAATTCGGATTGGTCAGTATTTTTTGCGACAATCCGATTGGACGACGCGGTTGTCGCAGCAGGAACATATCACTAACATTTAACATGTACGGCTTTCTATTGGTTGAAATACTGCCGAGCCGACATTGCACACGAAACGGTGTCGATCAGAATACTAGTAGTTAAGTAAAACGGCAAGTCGAACCAGCAGGAGTACTGTTGTGGTCGGTGGCAGTCAGCCGGCGTCCCACCATGATGCATGGGGACCAATGGTGGGATTCCTTTTGTAGCCCATTCCACACAATAACGTTTGCGACTTTTAAAACGTACGAATGTGGCTAAGAGTAATGGTTGCGCTTTACAGTTAGGTAGGTCCTGATTGAACATTACTGTAGCTACGCCAACACCACCTTACCTCCAGTAGTTATTCCAATTGCCCCTCATTCAATAAACGACACTAACCACGTTCTCCAGCTCTGCATATCCACTTACTTTCGCAACGTGAACCACCGTACTTGTTAGCACACAGTGCTTATAAGCATCCCCACTTCTAGCATCTGCACAGTGTGGATGCTTATAACACTAACTGCGACCTCTCTTCAATGTGTGCCCCCTTCCACCACAACACTAAATAATCATATTTTCAATACTACAACTACCGTGCGTTTGGGCAAAACGAATGTATTGGTTAATTCTTCCATAACTTTTCCACCATGTATCACTTTTCAGATCTGAAGGTATATACGAATATAGGAGAAATCAGTTCATCGGGTGAGGGGTTTTATAATCAATACAACGGGATATTAAAATAGATATCGTTGTTTCAAATTTCGCTCCTGCCATACATTCTGAGCAAATTAATATACTCAGAACATCGATATTTAAATAAAAAATAGTTCTGCACTCAGGCCAAAATTTATAATAATACGAGCGGGAGTACTGAAAGTCAAGTACTACCGTAGTGGGTTTTCTCTTTGCAAGTTTTTAAAATTTCGAGCTATTTTATTTTCAATACGTGCCAGTCCGACCCAAGCAAATGCTTGGATTCCCCATGTCGCGAAGGCACATAAGTCTATTAATATCACCATTCATATTTAGCCTTCAAAACTGGGGATTCATCATCTTTAATTCAAGACGAAGCGATTAAGAAAAGTATGAGCTAAATCCAACCAGTATTTGAAAACGAAAGATTCGTTTTGCCCAACGAAAAGAATGAGCTAAATCCGACCAGTATTTGAAAACGAAAGATTCGTTTTGCCCAAACGCACGGTATTGAAGGTCTTGTCTGTCGCATGCATTATTGAAAGTGCAGCAGTAATGTTCTCTCATTCGTGACGCCAGCAAATTTGTCACGGTGGTCAATTTGCCTGCCCTCGGTTTTATGTCTCGGAACTTCTCCCGCACTACGTTCCACCAATCATAAGCATACACTTTTGCCTAAGTTTCAGTCTCCTTGTCTCCTCACTTCTACATTTCCCTCGACAAGCTTAAGTCTCTTCTCTGGCAAGGTCCACTAGGACTACCTCGGTCTTCTACCCGAGTCTTCTCATCGATACTATTTCTGCTGACTCAAATCAAGCAAGATCTATCTATCTACCACGTGACACATGACCACCATCGCACCCACGACCCAAATCTTCAACGACGACATCGACGCCACCGGTGTGGCGCAGCAGCGTCCTCGTGGAGAACGTTTCCACGCTGGCATGACTGCCGTCGCGACCGCACCAACCGCGGAAACAGCCGACTCGACAGGTACGTCGACGCACGCTGCCGTGGATTGTCATCACGTGTCCACACATAGGCAAGCATCTGCGCAAGATGTTGTGCCACTCGATCCACGATGCCTTGCCGGTGTTGGAGTTCTTTGTCGTCGCAGCGTCCACCCGAGGCATCGCATGTACTGCACTCACTCCCCAGTCGAAAAGAATCTCATCCTTCTTTCGTCCAGGCATATATATCCTTGCAGCAGGCTTGATCATGGCCCTCGACCGTTGCTTCCGCGGCTTCGTCGAAACAAGCACGATATCACGCGTGTGTATCGCGCTCTTCTGTGCAAGGACATCGTTCGACATCGCCGCCTACAACGGCGACGCCACACCACTGCACACACTTTTCAACCCCATCCAGGACTCGAGTAACTTGGCCGACATCATCTGGGCCGTCATGGTCAAAGGTACTTATTGATCATCGCTCGTGTTCTTGATGTATTCAGGATGCTTCTCGATTGCTAAGTGTTGCTCATGTCTGTCTAGGCGTCATGCTTCGTCTTGCCAGCCTCAGCATGGAGGCCTTTGCTGGGCTCGTCCTGGAGTGGTTGCCCGTGCACGACACCGTCACGGGGGCGTCCATTCGACGCATCCCTCCACCACCCCCACGTAAGCCCGTTCCCCCTAGACACCGTTGTCACCTCTTGTCCTCGGTAGTCGGTCCAGCTCCTCAAATCACCAATGCAAGTGTGGTCCGCACATTCGTAGGAATGCGTCGTCGTGTTGAACTCCACTTGGCCTCATC